CTTGAAAGCTCGCGAGATCAGGATGGTATCATGAGGCTACCAAGCTGCAGGCACCAGGATAATAAAGTCGAACACATTTAGTCGGCAGGTTTCTACATTTGAAGTTAATTTAGGCGTTAATAAAAAGTTTCAGAGGAGTGATCATAGCGCTCTGCATCAGCAGTGCTGTGTCTGACTCCCTGCCAGCTCCCAGATCAGCTTCTCTGATTGGTTGATGCGGCGCGTCCAGCAGCAAATGTTCAATTGTTCCAACTCCAGCAGCTGCTGCTTCTGAAGCGTGACGTTCGGGTCAGATGCTCAGAAGCTCATGAGGCTCATGCTGCTCAAAACACGCTGCGGGACCTTTTGCTTGATGAGCCTCAACCATTAACTTTGCATGGAAACCAGCTTCTTCTGCTGCCTCTGCAGTATGTGCTCTCAACGTAGCATTATTTAGTGGCTAGAATGATTGTTTAATATTCAGTTCCTAGACCTCAGCCTCATAGACCCTTCACTTTTGACTTGTCGTTGCCCCTGGCAACCACATGTCGTTTCCTGTCAAGGTCTCGCTGTCTGTTGGCATTTCACAATAAAAGCACAGGTGAACTTTAAGATCACGGACTGCTGCTAAATTGTTCCCTATGAACAGCTTTTGAATCTCCTTGGGGAGACCATCGGTTTTTGGAAAAAAAGATCCACTTTGGTTCATTCAGTTGCAGCTCTGATTCGCTCTGATTCAGCGAGACTTCCTTGTAAATCTCCCCCCTCAGAAAGCCTCAACGCTAGGCAGTGGGCAGTGACAGACAAGGCCCTGTGCTGGAGGTGAGGGAGGATGATCAACGGTTCCTCTAGGACTAACTTAAAATGTATTTATTTTTTAAAACCACCTTATTTCTACATTTGTTAACGTTATTTTTTCTCTGTACCATTCGTCTGCTGTCTTTGTTCTAAACCTTGAGACAGTAGAAGGTGTTTTCCAAAAGACAGTTTTTTGTTTTTTTCTGGCACTAATGGTTCATTTTTTAACAGTAGGCTGAGATGGGGGTAAGAGAGATGAGGAGAGACATGAGGCAAAAGACAACAGTTCAGATTCAAACCCGGGTCAGGGACTAAGGCCTCCGTACATCACTAACTACTGCACCACTGAAGCGCTCACAAAGATGGAAAGTTTAAATAATTGTTTCTTATCAACTCAATCGACCAATCAAAGGGCAACATGCAATGTGCTAAAACCTTTGAACGGTTCTGTAGAGATGTTGAGTCTGTTCCCCTCTGCCTGGAGAGGCTGCTGCCCTCACCTGTTGACTTTCCTGGTAGGTTGGAGGAGGAACGCTCTGGGTGGCCATCATCGTCACTGCAGGTGCTGGGGACTCATGTTGCATTATGGGACAGCTTCACATGGAGACTAGGAGAAACACAGAAGGACAGAGACGGTCAAACATGGCTCCAGCTTTAAAGGTGCTTCTGTTTCAGCAGCAGCCAGCAGGTGATGCTGCAGCTGAATAATCAATGAAGCACACAGCCTCTCAGTCTGCGCGGAGCTTTTCTCTGCTGCTGCATGGAGCTGTGAACAACTACCCGCCCATCAGGAGCATATTTGATTACAGAATGATTAAAAAAGTCACCAAGCAGAAGAAAAACATCCTACATCACTACTTTCTCCCAGAAGCTGAGCTGCAGCAGCAGGTTTGTGTTTCCCGCTCTGTGACGGACCCTCGGCACCTGGCAGCCCTCTCTACCAGCTGCCTGCTTCTGTTGCTGTTGCTCTTTAACCAAGCAGGCCATGGAGGCTAATTAGGGCTCCTTGGGGCCCCACAGAGCTGAGGACAGTGGCCCCACCTCCACAGGGGGAGCTAAGCAGACCCCCCCCTAAA